ACATCACTAACATTCCTGCTGTTGGCTTTGGCTGCCAGCAGGGGAATGGCGTCCACTTTAATGTCAAACTTCTTAGCTTTGCTCTTCTCCCAGTCATATTTATAAACATTCTAGACAGAAATATTTTAGCAAAGAAACTGTAAGAACAACATCTAACACAAATTAATCCAGTAAAAATTTTTTAAAACCAGACATTTTATATGTAATATAGAATTATTTCACCTATAAATACTATGTTTACCAAAGGGCAATGTAACTATTGATTCATCTATCATCCAGTTTCTTCCCCTCTACCACTAAGTGCAACATGTGTTTTCTAATGATCTACAAACTTTCTAAAGACTCTGCTGTCCTCTTGTATACAGGATAATAGAAAATGACAACAACTTTGGAGAAGGTAGAGTGTGATATTTGCATAGGAAATATATAAAACTCTAGGGATTAGCAGAGGGATAATTGAGACAACGTATCTGATCATTAGAGACCATGGAAATGCAATCTGATAGCTAAAAAGAGCCAGTTCATTTGAACCTTAAAAGCTCCACTTACAGCAATCTCAGTGGTTGTTTATTTGCATAACTCCAAATACAGTCTTCTGAACGTTTATGTAACATTTCCTCTTTTCACACGCACAGGGACAAAGGTTTTTGGGCTTTGGTACTTACATCACTCAGGTTATAAGCATTGACTCTATGTTGGATAAACTGTGGAGCATCTGCAGGTACACTGCACTTGAACTTCTCACCTTCATGTTTTGCTTTGTAATTCAGCTGAAAAACAGAAGAGGTAGGAACACCCTTGAATTTATACACAACAGTACAGTGAACTCAGGGATTATCTGAGTGGCGCATATGGTCACGCACTCGACTACTAGCCAAGAAGTTGGTGGTTCAAACCCACCCAGAGGCACCTCAGAAGACAGGCTTGGTGATCGGCTTCCAAAAGGTCACAGTCTTGAAAACCCTATGAAGAGTTCTACTCTGCACATACGTGGTCCCTAGGAGTCGGAATCGACTCGACGGCAACTAACAACCACAACAACAACCACAACATAGACAGCTAGGTCATCAGTACTCTTTTTAGAAACATACCTCAAATTGATGCAAGTTAAAGTAGTATACAGGGCTCAGCCAGTCGAAGTACCACACAGGGCCTAGATCTTACCCCCTATTTCACTGGCAGTGGCATAACCAAATTTTGGGTTGCCGTTTAGTAAATGTTTTCACAATGTAGATGTCGGAAACCCATTGTCTGATCTGAACACCTAGGCTCTGCCTTGAGGGTATGACAACTCAAAACCTCTGAAACTCTGTAATCAGAGCACTAACATAAACAATACTAATTCTAAATAAAATAGTAGCACAATTAAAGAGATATGTAAATTCTTATTGCATAAAATACACTAAATATTGGACTTGATTTAAAATATTTAAAGGCAAAATTGACTGGAAGGAAGGGAGAGCAAGAAAGAAAGGAGGCTGTTGAATTCTAGAGCTAAGGACAAAATGCACAAGATGGAGAACTGTGAAATAAGTACCTTCAAGACAAAGCCCGAGGCATACCCTAGCCAGGAAGAAGAGCAAGGGGTGAACGAGCACACGTACAGTACCGTATTCCTCACAGCTTGCCTAGCTGTGCTGGCTCAGTGGCAATTGTGTTTAGCTGTTCTTTCTTAGTGCACATAAAATTAATATGTTAGGAAAAATTGCCTACGAACCAAAGCAACTTCTCAGTTATAGCAGGACGATTTGCATATTTTATTTTTCTGTCATGAGAAGAATGTGTTACTCTTTTTTTTTTATTGTACTTTAGATGAAGGTTTACAGAACA